CAATCCCACTGAAAAAGGGCACCAGACAAGGATGTTCCCACTTTCATTTAACCTCGTGTTGGCAGCCCTAGCTAACAACATAAGGCAAAGGAAAAACATTAAGGTATTTGTCTGGTGAAGGAAGAGATGAAACTATCGTTATTCGCAGATGATATGATTTCATATATGGAACACCCAAAAAGCGCCACAAGAGGAGTGCTATCAGTGAAAGAGGACTGTGGCAGGAGACAAGATCAACAAACAGAAGTCTATCGGGCTGCTATATACATCAGAGGATGAGCCCACGGAAGAAGAGATTGAATAGGTAATACCCTTCACTATAGCCAAGCACAAATTGAAATATCTAGGGATCTATCTAACCAAAAAACTCCAAAATATTTGTACAAGGAAAATTACAGAACACTATTACAAGAAACCAAGAATGACCTCCACATATGCAAGAATGTCCCATGCTCCTGGATCGGAAGACAATATAGTAAAGATGTCAGACCTTTCCAAGGCACTATATAAGTTTAATGCTATCCTAATACAAATACCATTATCTTTCCTCAAATAATTGGAACAAATGACTACCAACTTCATATGGAGAGAGAAGAAGTCCAGAATTAACAGAGAACTCCTCAACAAGAAGGACAAAGTAGGTGGGTTTCCTTTACCTGACTTTAGCACCTATTACATAGCCACAGTGGTCAAAAAAGTGTGGCACTGGTATAATAACAGATATTCAGACCAATAAAATAAATAAATACCTGAAAACCCCGAAATGAATTAAGCGGCATAGAGACAACTAATCTTTGATAAGGGGGCAAATAATATCAATGGGAAGCAGATACCTTCTTCAACAAATGATGCTGGAAAACATGGATATCTACCTGCAGAACAATGAAGCAAAACCCTTACCTTACTCCATGCACAAGAATAAACTCAAGGTGGGTCACAGACCTCAAGGTAAAACCCCAAACTATTAGGGCCATTAATGAGGGAATTGGGACAAACCTGAGAACTTTGGTGCAGATAATACATAAGCTGTAAGAAAGTGGGAAGGACACAAACACAGAGAAAGCACAAGTTGACAAGTGGGATATACTGAAGGTAACACAACTGTACATCAAAAGATTCTCCAAGAGAGTAATAAGAGAGTCCACAGAATGGGAAAACATCTTTAACAATGACACAAATTACAAAGGCCTTATTACTAAAATCTACAATACTCTGCTAGTCTACAATAAAGAAAAAAAAGTAGCCTATGAGGAGGTGGGCAAAGGACCTGAACAGAAGTTTTCACAAGGGCGGATATCCAAATCGCCAATACATATGAGAAAATGTTCCTGATCATTAACCATAAGGAAAATTCAAATTAGAACAACGATGAAATACTACCTAAGACCCTCAAAGATAGCCCAATTCAAAAAATTAGAAAGAAATAAGTGTTGGAGGGGGTGTGGTGAGATAGGAACTCTCATCCACTGCTGGTGGACCTGTAGGTATGTGCAGCTGTTATGGAAATCGCTTTGGTGATATCTAAAACAAATGGAAATCATGCTACCATATAACCCAGCAAGCCCCCTACTGGGCATGTACCCAGAAGAGGTAAGAAACAGACCATGGCCAGACATCTGTGCTCCAATGTTCATCACAGCACAGTGAATTAACAGAGAGGTCTACAGAGCTTGCCCCAATCCCAGCTACCTCAACCCCCTCCCCAGAAGATTGCACTGAAGATACAGCCTAGGGAGAGTGGTGAGTATGCCCAGACCACATGGGA